TTCACGGGGGGCGCACGACCCAGCCTACTGCAGGTACATTCCGCAGCACGGGTTATGCTGTTGTGATGGTGCGCGCGGGAAAAACTCCCCCCACTCGGGGTCAGTTTATTTAGTGTTGTTTTGTTTGTTTTTCTCCCATCATTGGACTCTGTCGTCTGCCCCTCTGGCCCCTATCCTCCACTTCTACCAGCTAGACGACCCAACCGGGGTTCACATTAGGAGGGGGGGTTGGACCCCTACCTGCGGTTCCTGCCTGAGATATTTTGATCGCGAGAAGGGTACAGCAATTCCTTTCCTCGCGACTTATGAAGTCGGTCACATTTACTAACAACGAGCTTTGCAGCGCGCGTCGCTTCCAACGGAGACCAGAAAATAACTAGCGAGAAAAAACTCACTCTGTCGGGACTCGAACCCATAACCTAGCCCTGAGCAGGCTGCGAGGCTACCCACTGGACCACAGGAGTGTGTCTACAGCTCGTTGAGCATGTTTCTTGCTGCATACGACCTCTTGTTTTCTTATACTTCATGAAAAATTCTCACCTGCGGAACCTTTCTCAACTCGGCACGCCCCCAGCTTCCACCACGCGGCAGTCGTCGATGAACCCTACGCTACCACATGGACTTATACTATTACTGCAGACTCTGCTCCAGTGAAGACTGCATACCACTGCATGCACACAAAATGTGATGCCGCTCTAGACATAGTCGACATCAGTATTCCTTTGCATGTCCTTCGCATGCCACAAAAGAGGGCGAGATAGAACCTGACGCGGCGGGTCCGTCCGAGACCGGCCTCTGGTCGTAAACACGTAGTCACCCATAATCATGGAACACCGGCAATACACAGGACATTGACATGGCAACGCACGCCAGCCAGCGGTACACATTGCTGTTGGAATGTCAGAGTGGGAGTAACACCCAAGGCAAGGGCTTTCGGTAGTACAGCAGCCTCGGTGGATAACACACAAGACGAGAATGAACATGTTCTGCATTAGAAGACATGGTGATGCCCTGCACCACAGCAGCTATAGCATAAGAGTCTGGACTGCATTACGCTGGTACTGCTGCTGTAGACGGATTGCATACAGCCGCTTGAAATGCTGCATGCACACATCCAACGTCAGAAGACTTTTCTCGGGTCTTTCTTGCGCAAGAATTACCGCCTTTTGTTTCTCCCTTCGTTCCGACTGCAGCCAGCAGCCGCTTGGATCATTCAGCGGTAGCTACCACCTGGCTCCACTCACGTCGAACAACTACAACTTACCTCCGTCCTCCGTCTTCACCCTCCACTCGTTCGGCAGCAGAGTGACCGGGTTGATCATGAAGTCTTCCCGGTGTTGCAGAGCGCCATCACGGCCGCCACCGCTCTTTCCTCCTCCCCACCCGCCGTGAGATAGCTCCAGGATCTCGAGCACCATGACGGTGACCGTCGCCAGCACCATCACACCGGCTGCGGCCTTGAGCACCCTACTGAAAGGTACCATGAGGCCGACAAGGCTGGTGCTGAGAGCACCAAGCCAAGAAGGCCTTCGGACGGTGTTCCAACTAAGATGATATTTGTGGAGGAGTGATTCGAGATTCGAGCGTGTGTGTGCAGAGTTCAGAGGTCCGAGAGAGCTCGAGAGAGCTGGAAATAGAGGTTTCCAGAGTTCGCGCGGCATGTCTCCACAAAGAAGTCGGCGGCGGCGGCGGCGGCCGACTCACTTACGCGCCAGGCCCCACAGAGGCACCCTCCTCTGAACCGCAGACATCATGAGTAACAATGACACAGACAGCACGGCCCGGGGCACAGGTCCCGTGTCCATAAACGAATGGGCCCGGGTGCAGCGGAAGCTGCTGAGGCTTGAACGAGACGAGGAAGTCGAGCAAGTCGCCGGAATGCTGAACCAACTAACGGCACAGGTGGGACCTCCCCTCGACGGCAGCTGCTGCCCCGCCCCCTTTTAGCAGAGCAAGGGGCTTCGGCTCGCTGTGTGCAGCGGTATTTGCCCGCAGAAAGGCACTTTTTCTGAAGCTGTTATTGCTGTCGTCAGCCGGGTGTTGGGCGTGGCTTTCGCGAAACACGCAGAACCCTAGACTACTTCAGTGCAAAGAACTCTGCGTTATTTGGTGTGTCTTCATCCCTTGACGCCTTCGCTTCCAATATAACCAGTCCCCGCTTTTGTGTCTACAGCAGTATCTACTGGGCTCCAAGAAAGTGCGGCAGCAATGGCATTGCGGCGGACAGCAGGTTCCCCTTTGTCCGTGTGCATAACAGGGGAACGCCCACGGCAGGCACACTAACTTGACACACCAGTGGTTGAGGAGATGATAGATGATGTTGTTCATGTGTGGGTAGAGGCGCCGGGCGGAGCGCCTAAAACCGCACATCGTCGATGGGCAACTGCAGTGTTTTCTCCGGACCAAACACATCAACGTATTAAGCCACAGTCGTCGTCGACCGGGCATGATTGCCTCAAACGCTTCAAAACACGCACACCACGTAGGAATGCATGGAGCGCGGTGTCAGCCTCGTTCCTCTCGCGGTGACGGGGCTGTCGACGGGTTTGTACGGAAGGGCGTGCGTCTCCGTCGGGGATCCCAAGGGCCGGCCCCTGCCCGCGCACAGGCTGGGCGCCGGCGATCAGGTCCGCCTGTACAGCTCTAAGGGGGGCAAGGGCGACATCGGGGGAGGGATATCTGAGATATCGGGTGAGCAAACGGCTCCATCCTGCTTGTTGTCGCCATCATTTAGTTGTTCCACACTGCGTATGGCCCGTTCATGTTCAGTCACCTCTTCGACCAGGAGCGTTTCTCAAGCCTGTTTTACCGCGCATGTGGGAGCGACTCCGGTGCGAGAAAACAAAGTGTTGGTCGGTCCGTACAAAAATCGTATTTAGTTTCGTACGAAGCGCGCGACGCTCCATGTTGCTGCCGTGTTTATGTGCGTGTAGTAGGTGTAAACCGGTGAGCGGTGTTGTTGTTGTTTGTTGTTGTTTCTCACATTAGCTCTATACAGATAGCGCCCGCACTTAAGAACTTAGCAGTTAAGAAAATGAGACTCGCAGAAAATCAGAAGCTAAGAACTTGAGCACCATTTGTGAGCTCGGTTAAGAACCCCACACTAAAACCTATATAGCGGGCATGTGTAGCCCATAAGTTGATGATCAGCAAAATAATAACCCCAGCCTCGGCCGAAACTAGAGGTTCTTAAGTGCGGGCGCTATCTGTAGTCCCCAAAAAAATGGGGAGCCCGTGGTCTCAAAACCCGGCACATTCGACGCCGCGGGGAAACAAAAACCACTCGGAAAAAGGAAACAAAATGATAGAAAGAAAGGAACAGCTACCGCAACGACCGGTCGAGAAAAGAGTCCTCGGAAACCGATCAAAATAAAACAAAGACAAAAATTATAGGAGGGCGCTTCCCACACCCTCCTAAAAAATCAAAGGTAACGTACCAGCACCAGGCATTACGCACCAGGGCATGGGAGTAACGGGGCCAACAGAACAAAGAGGCGGCAGATGGGCAGACAGCCAGATGTATAAAAACAAAAGCAACAGTAAAAGGGAGATCAAGGTACCCAACACGGCAGAGTAGGCAGGGAGGACATGAGAAAAAGAAACACAGCACAGAGGCCGAAGGCAATACAAAGGACATACATAAAGGAGTGTAGCATACAGCAGGGAGGGAAACAGGGCGCAACAACATCAGCCGGGTACATAGTTCGCCACGAGTGCTGCCTCGGCCGCCCTACTCGCTTCTACAGCAGTGCCCGGTCGCCGTTTCTTCNCCTTTCGCCTCCCATGTTGAAGACCACGAGGTCCTCTCCTAGACGAGACACCCAGTCGCTCTCCTGCCCGCCCCGGT